GAACCCCTTTTCCAGCCATGGCGTTTCCAGGGTCTCCTGCCTCCCCCCGGGACCCCTAAGGACCCACTTCCAGCCCCACGTGGGTCCCCACTTGTCCCCAGGGGTTCCTAAGGTCTCGGTGTTGTCTTTGGGAGTCCCCAGATGCCACCGGGGGGTCTCAGGAGGCCCCCGAGGTCCCAGTCCTGTTTCTGTGTCCCCAGTATTCCAAACCTGGTTCCTGTTGGTTCCTGGGATGTCCCCAAGGTCCCAGTTCAATCTCTAGGATGTCCCCAAGGTCCCAGTTTCTAGAATGTCCCCAAGGTGCCAGTTCAGTCTCTAGAATGTCCTAGTTCAGTCTCTAGGATGTCCTCAAGGTCCCAGTCCAGTCTCTAGAATGTCCCCAAGGTCCCAGGATGTCCCCAAGGTCCCAGTCTCTAGAATGTCCCCAGGGCGCCAGTTCAGTTTCTAGAATGTCCTAGTCCAGTCCTCTAGGAGGTCCCCAAGGTGCCAGGTCAGTCTCTAGGGTGTCCTAGTCCAGTCTTTAGAATGTCCCCAAGGTCCCAGTCTCTAGGATGTCCCCAGGGTGCCACTTCAGTTTCTAGGATGTCCCCAAGGTGCCAGGTCAGTCTCTAGGAGGTCCCCAAGGTGCCAGTCCTGTCTCTAGGATGTCCCCAAGGTCCAAGGATGTCCCCAAGGTGCTAGTCCTGTCTCTAGGGTGTCCCCAAGATGCCAGTCTCTAAAATATCCCCAAGGTGCCACTTCAGTTTCTAGGATGTCCTGAAGGTGCCAGTTCAGTCCCTAGGAGGTCCCCATGTCCCAGTCCAGTCACTAGGAGGTCCCCAAGGTGCCAGTCCCTCCCCCAGGAGGTCCCTGTTGCCCGCGTCCCCTCGGGGCGTCCCCGCTGAGCCGTGTCCCCGCGCTGTCCCCGCAGGTGGACGTGCTGGTGACAACGGCCGGGGGCGTGGAGGAGGATCTCATCAAGTGCCTGGCGCCCACCTACGTCGGGGACTTCGAGCTGCGGGGACAGGAGCTGCGCGAACGCGGCATCAACCGGTGCGGCCCGGACGCCGGGGCCCCTCGCGGGGACGGCGGGGGGGGGGACACGTCCCGCTGAGTGTCCCCTCGCTGTCCCCAGCATCGGGAACCTGCTGGTGCCCAACGACAACTACTGCAAGTTCGAGGACTGGCTGATGCCCATCCTGGACAAGATGACGGAGGAGCAGGACACGGAGGTGGGCGGCTGCCCCGGACGCCGGGGCCCTTCCTGGTGTCCCCAGCGTGTCCCCAGGGCTGGGGGGGATGTGGCGTCACCTGCGCCGTGTGACAGGGCGTCAAGTGGACCCCGTCCAAGATGATTGCGCGGCTGGGCAAGGAGATCGACAACCCCGACTCCATCTACTACTGGGCGCAGAAGGTAGGGGGTGTCCCCGCGTCCCTGGGGGTGTCACCACGTCCCTGGGGGTGTCACTGTGTCCCAGAGTGTGTCACCGAGGGTGTCACTGTGTCTTGGGGGATGTCCCAGGGGCATCACCACATGCCAGGGCGTGTTCCTGGGGGTGTCACCATGTGCCAGGGAGTGTCACTGGGGGTATCACCGTGTCCCAGGGGGTGTCCTAGGGGTGTCACTCTGTTCCCAGGGATGTCACTGTGTCCCAGGGGGTGTCACTGAGGGTGTTGCTGTGTCCTGGGAGTGTGTCCCCAGGGGTGTCCCTGCATCCCCGGGGGGGTTCCAAGGAGTGTCACCGTGTCCCTGGGGATGTCGCCGCGTCCCAGAAGGTGTCACCGAAGGTGTCATCATGCCCTGGGGGGTGTCACCATGTGCCACGGGGTGTCACTGTGTCCTTGGGGGTATCCCTGTGGTGTCCCTGTGACCCCAGATTGACAACCCCGACTCCATCTACTACTGGGCGCAGAAGGTAGGGGGTGTCACCGCGTCCCTGGGGGTGTCACCAAGGGTGTCACTGTGTCCTGGGGGATGTCCCAGGGGCATCACCACATGCCAGAGGGTGTTGCTGGGGGTGTCACCATGTGCCAGGCAGCGTCACTGGGGGTATCACCGTGTCCCGGGGGGTGTCCTGGGGGTGTCACTCTGTTCCCAGGGATGTCACTGTGTCCCAGGGGGTGTCACTGAGGGTGTCGCTGTGTCCTGGGAGTGTGTCCCCAGGGGTGTCCCTGCATCTCCAGGCGGGTTCCAAGGAGTGTCACCCTGTCCCTGGGGATGTCGCCGTGTCCCAGAAGGTGTCACCGAGGGTGTCATCATGCCCTGGGGGGTGTCACCATGTGCCAGGGGGTGTCACTGTGTCCTTGGGGGTGTCCCTGTGGTGTCCCTGTGTCCCCAGGCATGTCACCCTGTTCCTGGGGGTGTCCCTGTGACCCCAGGCGTGTCACCCTGTCCCTGGGGGTATCACCATGTCCTGGGGGGTGTCCCTGGGGGTATCCCTGTGGTGTCCCTGTGTCCTGAGGGGTGTCACCCTGTCCCTGGGGGTGTCCCTGTGTCCCAGAAGGTGTCACCGAGGGTGTTGTCATGCCCTGGGGGGTGTCACTGTGTCTCTGGGGGTGTCCCTGTGGTGTCCCTGTGTCCCCAGGCATGTCACCCTGTTCCTGGGGGTGTCCCTGTGACCCCAGGCGTGTCACCCTGTCCCTGGGGGTATCACCATGTCCTGGGGGGTGTCCCTGGGGGTATCCCTGTGGTGTCCCTGTGTCCTGAGGGGTGTCACCCTGTCCCTGGGGGTGTCCCTGTGTCCCAGAAGGTGTCACCGAGGGTGTTGTCATGCCCTGGGGGGTATCACTGTGTCCCTGGGGGGGTCCCTGTGGTGTCCCTGTGTCCCCAGGTGTGTCACCCTGTCCCTGGGAGTATCCCTGGGGGTGTCCCTGTGTCCCCAGGGGTGTCACCCTGTCCCTGGGGGGTGTCCCTGTGTCCCCGGGGGTGTCACCACATGCCGTGCCGTCCCCTGCAGAACGGGATCCCGGTGCTGAGCCCGGCGCTCACCGACGGCTCCCTGGGCGACATGATCTTCTTCCACTCGTACAAGCGCCCGGGGCTGGTGCTGGACATCGTGGAGGGTGAGGACGGGGCCGGAGGGGGGGCCCGGACGCCTGGGCCCCCTCACAGCCCCCCTGTCCCCGTGTCGCCCCCCCAGATTTGCGCCTCATCAACACACAGGCCATTTTCGCCCGGCGCACGGCGCGGGGGGGGGGCTGGTGAAGCACCACATCGCCAATGCCAACCTCATGGTGAGGGGACACTGGGGGGACACCCCGGGGGGACCCCGGGGACAGGGGGACGCTCACGGTGTCCCCGTTTGCCCCCCCTCGCAGCGGAACGGGGCCGACTTCTCCGTGTACGTGAACACGGCGCAGGAGTTCGACGGCTCCGACTCGGGCGCCCGCCCGGACGAGGCCGTTTCCTGGGGGAAAATCCGCCCGGACGCGACGCCGGTCAAGGTGGGCGCGCGGGGGCCGGGGTACAGGGACATGTGTGTGTCCCCCCCATGTCACCGCGTGCCTCTCCGTGTCACCGTGTCCCCCCGTGCAGGTCTATGCCGACGCCTCCCTGGTTTTCCCACTGCTCGTGGCCGAGACGTTCGCCCGGAACGCGGGATCCTTCCCGGAGCCGCCTCCCTAGGGTGCCCCCCCCCGGAATTCCAGCACCCCCGGGGGGCCCCGCAGAGCAGGGGGGCGGGACCCCCCCTCCCCATCCACCCGTCGCTCCCGCTCTTACATCCACGTTATTTATTGCGGGTGCGCCGGGATCCGCTCGCTCCCAATAAACCCGCAGCGTTCCCGGGATGCCGGGGGGGTGTCACGTGGCCGCGTCCCCCTCGTCGTTGTTGTCACCGGTGTCCCAGAGCTGCAGGGTGGCGCCGGTGGCCGCGAGCAGGACGGGCCGCGCGGGGTGGAAGGCCAAGGCCTGCACGGCGCCGCGGCCCACGGGCAGGCGCGCGGCCAGCGAGCCCTGCGCGGGGACACGGAGGGGACGTTGGGGACGCGGAGGGGACGTTGGGGACACGCCGGGGCGCTGCCGTCCCGTCCCCCTCACCTCCACGAGGTCCCAGAAATAGACAGCGCCGTCCTCGGACGCGCAGCCCACGTGGGCGTCGC